GTGTGTCTGTGTGTCTGTGTGTGTGTGTATGTGTGTGTGTATGTATGTGTGTGTGTGTGTGTGTGTGTGTAATAACATGACACATCCACACATACGATGGCCTTGTGTACGTACCTGGCTTTCCTTTTTTTCTCCTCTTCGTGGGTTTTGGGTTGATGGTCGGTGTGCAGGGTCGTGCAGTGATGGGTGCACTCGAGTGGGAATCTCTTGACGAGTGCGCAACACCGGATACAATATCTTCTGTTACTTTCATGTTAGCGATAAGCTATCAACCTTTGTATTTGACTAAATCAGATACCGTCCAATAAATAAATATATTCCGAGAATGCTTATTATATCATAGCAGAGGCTGACCCACACGGTCTCCATTGTTCATAAACAGACTTTAAATAGTTATCTCTTAAATCATCAGCGACACTTCTGAAGTTATGAACACGAGCCAATTTCAACTTTTTATAAAACCCGCCAAAATATATTTGGAATAGTATGTTGTAATACCAGGGCGGACTGAACCAGCCCTCCTGTCCGGGTGCAGGTGCACACCTCAAGTCCGGAAGTCGACGGGTGGTCCACAAGGGTGAATCATCTGATAATAGTCGATGAACCTATTAGATGAATCATCGTAGCTGTAGTATCGGCATACAATACTTCTCCGTTGAAGTATCGTCTGCAGAAAGTAACTTAATAAACCTTAGTTGATTAAGAAGTATTGTTTCAGCCAGCTAATACCGGCCAGCTAGTACGATAAAGTTAAACAGGCTTTAGATTCAAGCATATACTAAATGGATTTATTATCCTAACAAACACCCGAAATTTTTGAGATTTCGACTGCGATTACAATCTCCACATCGACGAGTACAGTGGGGACCACCCTGGGTCTACGAAGGCCAGAAGCACTGGATGCTACTGCCGTGGTTGGACCGTTGGCAGGGTTTTACCCGCTCACCGGCGTATCGGAAGATCGAGCCGAAGGACCATGAGAGCGTACCCCACACCCAACTCGACCCCGGGTTTCTCGTCCCAGGTCAACTTACTGCTCACGTACTTAGAGGAACGTTTGGTCCTCGACGTTCAAATGAACATGAATGCTGATATGACATTAGTGGAGATAATCCGTTACCTGGTGGCCAACTATGTGATGGCCCCTCAGTTTATCTGTTGACCCGTTACTTCTCCCTTGATTTGATTGCCTACGGACTCAGTATACATGCTGAAGGCTAAGCAGCATGCCTTGTTGAGCTGTCAAGAGTGTCATCTATCGGCTGGACCAGGGCCTCCGTGTGGTCAAAACCAAGTAACACCTATTAATAAAGAGTGTTAAGTCTGAAATAAGTGAACACAGTCAGAAGTGCCATTGCGAATGGCGCGCCTGCTATATTTATTAATCACGAAATAGCAACTATTGTATAGTTTATTTGTTATACATTGGATCCTCGAATCTATGTTGTAATAACGCATAGTCCATAAATCTACCCAATTAAATGTGTTAACTATTGATTGTGATCGCAAGCGATTAAATGCGATCTCATCATTGCAATTAATCGTGCTTGCGAATGTCTTGGTGTGTAGTATGCGGAAGCCATGTAGTTGTTACGCACATGACCTCCCCTATTATGTGTGAAAATATGAATGCTGTAGCATGCTTCGTTCCTGAGATATACGTGTTTGTATATATGTTATATGTTGGTTATTACATATTTATGTATGTTAACGTTTATATTTTATCGTTGAACTTATATTCTAAAACGAAAACGTATTTTTGAAACGTTTATTTTATTATTTTTAAAAATTCGTGAAAAATAAGCCCATTAATAGGCCTCGTTTTATGATATGACTAAAAGCATAAAACGCATGTGACTAAAGTAAAACGTCTATGAAAAATAGCAAAACTGACCACTTCTTCCCATCAATCTTTCCTGAACCACTACAGCGACTATGAGAGCCATACCATATGTTCATACATTGTATCATACATACTTGCCATTTTTGAAATAAATAATATTATCCCTATTCGCGTGTTTGCCGCCGAAGGTGCGGATGTCTATCAGTATACTGGGTAACTATTCTAATGTAGGTATACTGTCTTCCTTTCCCTTTTATTACAGGTTCGATGAAGCATATAGTTGCCCATGTTATCAAACATCGGCTTGATAAAGCATATAAATGCCCGTGTTAGCAGTCATTGATGGGTATAGGTGGCCTTTACATGCCGTATCTAAGTAACGCGCCCTTATAAATTAGACGATTATCTTCACGTGTTTAAATAAAGTTGTAAAGTCTTTATGGGTTATTGATTGTGTGAGAGTGTGATGTGGTGTCCTCATGAGCATACTCGAGAAGGGCACGCTTTTTGTGACTCCGTCACAGTGCCTTACATGTTCCGCCTGCCACACCAATAGAGTTACGCATTTTCCGTCTGCTATGTAATAATGTCTCGACCGTACCGCCGTCAGCGTAACAATGTTGCACATGTTCCGCCTGCTGCGTAATAATGTTGTACACATTCCGTCTTCTACGTAATAATACTACCCATGGTCTCGTTTGGTACGTAATGATGTTATCCAACTCAACACCACTCACAGCGACTATGCAACACACTTGAGGTTGCGGATTCCTACCGATTTTCAAGTTTTCGCGCAAAATTCAATGCGGCGTGTCCTCAGGTTTGCTCACCTCTGAGTGAGAGTCAACAGGGTGCTCGCCTGTACTCTCAGCATCTAAATAAACATACGTTCTATTCTATCGACTGTGATAAGTGCCATACAGCACGCTAGTGAGGCTGCGATTGCTCACCAATTTCAAAGTGCCTACGCAAAGTTCCATGCGCCGTGCCCTCATGGTTGCTCGCCACTGAGTTAGAGTCAACAGTGTGCTCGCTTTTACTCTAAGCATATAGATATACTTGCCACCCACAACCAGCACTCGTGTAACTGTAATCTTTGGTCTATCAAGGCGATATTAACGCCTTAGAGTAATTAAACGCTTAGATTAAGTCTAAGTATAGTTAAATTCGAAATAAATAAACGAAATGAGTCTTTTAGTAAAGTTATGAATTTAAAGACAATATATGGAGAGTGGATATAAGGTACGTTGTCCACATCCGCCCTAGTAACGCGCAGGTAGCCCCGAGACTGGCCCCACGATTGAATATGCTCCAGGCGGCACATAAAGGGATACCGCTGCCGTTGCCTGAGACAGCAGCCCAGCCGCCCCCAAGGATACCGGAGCGTCCTTCGTCGAGTCCCCGACCCAGGGATTTAAGCCCTTTTCGAGCAAACAACCGTATGCAACCGCGTGGTAAGGGTGATTTGCGTGGAACCCTTACAAGAGCCTCCTAACATGAGTTCACGAATGCTAAAACCCTAAACTCTAAAATCCTAAGCCTGGGGACAATACGCGCGATAGTTCATCTCGCAGCCCTTCTCCGGGCCGAGCGGCATGCCCGCGTTGTAATCTTCGACATTGGGGAGACCAGTGTCCGGAATGTGATATCTGTAACCAGACGGGCATTTTCGATATCAGTGCCCGCAGAACCCACGCAATCTCAGCAATACGTTCAGCGATGGCTCTACCATAACGGTCGCGGCAACGGTTTCACGTTGACTGGAGGAGGACGAGTGGACCAGTCCTGGTACCCAGGCCAGCTATGTGAGGACCTACCAGTCAGTATATACAACAACACCGGTGCTCGTCCAGCTATGTTGAGCCGGGGTTTTGCGGCTGCACATCAGTTTGAGATCACAACGATGGAGCAATTGTACCACACAGGGTATGGTGGCAATGGTACAATGGCCCTCATTTTCTACAAGGAGGCCAAAATTCTGTTGGAAGTGTTGGACATTGAAGGCAGGGCGACCCATCATGAGACATCCTCTATCTGCCTCGTGATTGCCCCATGTGGTATCCTCCTTGGGCTGGACACCATGCGCCACGAACATCTGGTCACCATGTGGGACGAGTCGATGTTGCCGCCTACCTTTTGCCTGCAGCTCCCCAAGTTGTTACAATCAGGTTCATTTCCTGGTATCATACCGCCCCCCGGAAATCCTCTACAATCTATGAATTACCAGCTGCAGCCCATATATAGTTGAGCAGGACGCTCCGTTTGTGGACTACGATTTCACGGGCCTCGAATATTTAGGGCGTATAACGAACCAACTAGCCGAGTAAGTCCAACGTCTGAAGGACAAGTTCTACATGGTACGGATGGACCCGAAACATCCGCTGTTTATTCCGGATGTCATGGTGAAGGTAATGCCTCTACCAGACGCAGCTTTCTGTCCGGCAATTTTATGACACGAGGGACCCTTTTAAAAGTGATGTGATCACCCGGAAAGTGGAGGCTATGTACCAGGTGAGCCATGTGGACGAAGGGGATCCAATGAGTTTGTGGGTCGCTCCGTGTGTCCTAGCTCGGAAGAACGCCCGCACGGTGCCTACATAGGACATACATTTCCGTCTCACGGTCGACTACTCGATGCACAACCCACACATGCATATTCAGCCGGTCACATTGACGACGGAGGACGATGTGCTCTTCGCGAGGTGCGCTCATTCTCACGTGCATTGATTTGGCGGCCTCCTACCATCAACTAATGATAGTGCCTGAATGCCGGTATACCCCACGTTTTATACGCCGGAGAGCCGTTTCCACCATTCGGTGTGCTTACTGTGGGGTTTCCAAAATGGCTGCTTTGATATGCAGCATTATATGCTGCACACCTTTCGGCAGGTCAAGGCTCTATTTGCCTACTTGGAAAATCTGACAATAGCGGCCAGGCAAATATTGGAGCGTACGTATATTGTCGATAGGCCAGCACTGGTCCGACCATCATCAGACGCGCGACATTATGATCGACAGGAACATTCAGCTCCAGCTGTTAAAGAGTCAGATAGCTCGCTTGACGCAGGAGATTGCTCAACTTTTTGGACGCGACATATTGGACCAAGGGTCCATGATAGACCACGACCGGTTGAAGGATTTCTTAGAGCACCAGTACCAAAGAATATGAAGGAACTAGTGTCCCTCCTGACAATGATGTCCTGGTGGTCAGATATGGTGCCCCACTATGCACGCACAATGGAATCCCTTACCCGCTTGACCAAGAAGAGTGCGGTATTTGAGTGAAGGACCGAACAACAGTTAGCGTGAGAGGAAGCCCTATATTTCTTCTCAATGTGGATTAAGCTTCACCAGCCACTTCCGCACCAGCGGTGTATGCCCTCTTTGTTCAAATGGACGGGGGTATCCCGCGTTATGTCGTCGAAGAGATCAACTGTGCATCGCTCTCACAACTGGCTTTGAAAGCAGCGATGACCCGCACCTTCGACCAACCGGATCTGATCATAGAACTGGAGGCCCTGGCCTTACAGTTCTCCACAGAGGCCATCCGACCGAAGGACGCCGACGAGGAAGGTTCGGGGGACCCAGCCTCACGCTTTATGGCACTCCACCACACGGGCATCCAGCCAACGGGCAGCGCGAACATCGATTATGTCATTGCCATCGGGCGCAAGAATGGCATCCAAGGTTTCGCGGTTGTACTAAATGAAATCATTGATGTCGGCATTACTATTGCCGGCCACTCAAATCTTTTTCCTGTAATTATCGCGGCCAGTACTTTGAACTCGGCACAGCGCAACTATAGCGCCACGGGCCGTGGAATGATCGGATGCAAATTTGCGGCAAAGAAGGCCCTAAGCATCCTACCGCGGTCGTATCGTCCAGTGATTATGTACACCGATCACAAACCTTTGTTGGATATCATATAGAACCCTGGTAAGTATACCAAGGATGATACCATGGAGAGTCGCCGAATCTTGAGGTCCATCCAGGTTATGCATGAAGTTGAAATTGATTATCAATACGTTCTGGGGCCGCTGAATTTCTTTGGTGACTACATGTCGCGCTGTTGCGACCATATGCACCCACTTATGTTGCCCGCAGAACGGCGGGTAGCATGGACGGACGTTCTCGAGTTGCCGGAGCCCCAAGTCATGGCGACGCTCATCACAGCCGTGCTTGACCGTACCAACTGGCAACTCAACCGGTTGTGGTACAGGAGGTCTATTGAGGTCTTCGGCGAGGAATACGTTATTGAGCTCTTCGCCACCGACACATCTATTACAGCAATAAGCCAGAAGGTGGCACATATGGGTGCAATTTCTTCGACGTTGACTTCAACGACAAACACTGCTATGACGATTCCCGTTTTGAAATACTGGATGATGTTTTACACCATATCACGACCTTTCGCAATGCCTCTGTGGTTTTGTGTGTCCCGTTCTGGGATACGGCCCCATGGCCTCCTCCCCTGTTTGGGATGCTAGAACGTGCGGTGGGCTTACCACCTTGTAAGGTCACGCTCCTGGCACACGTCAAGAGCTGCGGAGGTGTTAACTATCCGGTGCCCCGCTCTTTTTGACACCAACTGGGCCGTACTCGGGCCCAGGCGTCTCTCTGGCATGTGGGCCACCAATATCGATCTGTCTCGTATTTTTCGGTGACCACACGCGCTAGACAAACAGCCGACGCACAGGTGGACAATGTTAGCCCAGTGCAACTTGAGTTGTGGTGGGGCTGGCGGACGCCACACAGGCGGAGACCAGTGAGTTGCCCGCTGCAACGAGCGACGAGACAGTCACAATCGTCGCTACAATAGCCATACCCGTTGACGCGACCATCGAGCCAACCGAGCCACATCTGGTGTTAGAGTACAATGTAGTAGACTTTAAATAAAGTACAAATGTATGTATTTATTTCTGTCCTCACCTTTGGTTTTATACCTAAGGTGTTTGTGCTAGTGTTTAGCCGCTTGGGCTGGCCAGGGTAAAACCTCATATGGTCAGTATGACAAACCTTATGCGGAACACTTTAACACTTCGATGCTTTTCTATTTCAACTTCTCTGCAACTAAATCTCACGTTGATCACATGATGCCTTTCCGCATAGGTTGCGACTCACATAGAACCACAGCTATTATTAATATGTTGTGGTTGACAGGCTTAATCCACTCTCGGGATTCGGCTGAGAAACTAAATCTGCTATCGGAAGTCGGTTAAGTAATAGCTCAACTCTTGAGAGTAATTTGAGCAACTTGATTCACTCTCGGGAGTGAGCTATCTCTGATGACTTAGCTCTCGGGAGTGAGCTAATTCGGATGACTTCCATAAATCAAAGATGGTTTCTTGCTGTAAAATCTGGCCTGAGACCTGTAGTCTCTCATCTGGCAACACCTGAACAGGTGGGTGAGGCAAAACCTCTCCCCTTGCAACAGGAAGCTGTACCTATTATCGGAGATAATGATACCCCACGGGCCCCGGTTCTAATACTCGGCATGGACGCAAGTCAAGAAAGTGGCCTGGCATCGGAAATGTGGACCTTGGATGAAGTCTCCTTTATGAACGCAGAACAACACCCAGCCCTTGACATGCAGGAGCTCTTATCCGGTATGGACATCTTACCGTTGGCCAAACCTGCTTCTCCGGACAATCCTTCTTCCGCTCGAAGGTGACCGTTTTCCCTTTATCTCACACGTATGCAACAACCCGGGCTGGATAAAACGCCAATTAAGGACACCACCGGACTGGACCCTCCGGCCTCCCATACATATCTGGACCCTGAGCGATACACTTTGGATTTCTATGATGAAATCTTGACGTACGAGTCTGAATTGTTACGCACCGTGGAGGACCTGGCTCCTTTCTCAGCCTCGTTGGAATTCCAGGAGATACATTGGGTACTGGCGATTTGATGTACCAGGCTGGCCTTGATGAGGACCCAATTGGTACGACTTCAGACACTAACAATGTCCTTTTCGACAAAACGGACGACACCGCGCAACCACCCGTTGACTACTTGGTCTCACACCACCCATCAACCGACACACCAATACCGCGACGCCGTACCAAGACTCCGGTACCGATGCCACACATCCTCCACGCCTGCCCAATGGACCTTCCACATGTCCACGCAGCCCTTGCAGCTTTAGAACTGGTCTCCATTCATGGGGTGGTCTCGTCGCCACGAAGCTTGGAGGCTATTTGGACGTTACACGACTGATTCGGCCACCATTTAGCTGATCGGATGCGCCCACTACTGCAGCAGAAATGTAATTGAAACATCCCAGTAGCGCTGCTTAGGGATATCCTTGGTACGTGTCGCGAGTGGATCCGCACGGGCCGACAGGGTGGGCGCAAGAAGGGCCTCCTCTAGCAGCCTGCTAGGCCTACGACGATCGGGGAGGAGGTAAACATAGATTATTTATCGGTGAATCCGGATCCAAAAACTCTAAACCGAGGGGCCATGTCCGGACGTATAATATGGACAAAGATAGTCCGATGTGAAGTGATGAATTTGCTAAGTATGCGTCCGACAACAACGCGCGTGTGAATTACGTTACAACGGGCGAGTACGCTGGTAATTGGAGGATTGAGGTTTTCCTCCGAATGCTTACCTATTGGCTCAAACGCAGCTTGTCGGTTGGCCTCCATCACGCGTGGCGCCCATGAAGTGCCGGCGTTCTTCACGAATTGCAACGCGACATGGTCCGGCGTCATCGATACGGCGCCCTATACATTGTTTACGGGACGGGTGTACCCCCATTCCTCGGACCCAGAGATATCGGCGATCCTCGACGGCGATGCTGCCGCTTCTGGCTATGAAGCGACGGATACACCTCCAACTCTGGAGCGGGACCTCGTAGCCCTGGCAAAGGTCGAACGGGCTAAAGCTGCCCAGAAGAGAGCAGCGGATATTCGTCGTATTGACTGCCCGATGGCTGGTATTGGCCGCCAGGTATTTAATATACATCTATGGCGGACCTCCTACACAATTTCGCGAAGGATTGGTTGAGGCCCGCAGTCGTATTGGCCCATGTGGCTCCAGTAATGCGGTATATTAAGGATACGGCAAGTAATAAGGAGTACCGCGTACACGTGAAGAATATCAAAGCGTACGTACCTCCAGTCGGTAGCGACGAGATGGTGTCCAAGGGAACAGCGGCCAACTCGATTTATGCTACTTCTTGTTTCACGATTCTATCTACGCCCCATTGATCTCCGACGACCAACGCCAGGCGTTGAGCATTGCATTCCGCACTTATGCGGCCGCCATCCGTTTCCAATATGGCCTTAATGGTGCCTATGTCAAGTGGGCACGACTGTGTACAAAGTATAAACGTCCACGATCCAGCGATTTTACGGCTGAGGATGAAATGTTCTTCCGTAAACACGCGGCTGAAGTCACGAATCCAGCGAGTACCCTGAGCGCGATTAAGCGCTGTTTTTGTTTCGCCGAGGATGCAAGCTACCGCGATGAGCTCCTGTTAACATGAGAACTCAAGCACAACTCAACAATGCTGTTGGATGCGCTTCCCACTTCATGAGTACGGTTCTATCCCTTTCTAATTTTTGAGACTATTATTCCTGAACCACTACAGCGACTATGAGAGCCATACCATATGTTCATACATTGTATCATAAATACTTGCCAATTTTGAAATAAATAGTATTATCCCTATTATTCCGACTTTTCTATGTCCCTGCAAAAAAAAATCGCTGACTCACAGCGGTTCGGGCACTCACGGAGTAAAATGTCCGGGCCAGCGATTCTCCGCCGCTTTTCAAATTTTGGGGTCAACATTCATCATAATCGCGAGTCTCCCCGGGGCTGTAGTACAAGGGTGGACAGAACCAGCCCTCCTGCCCGGGTGCAGATGCACAGCCCTGCCCTCAAGTCCAGAAGTCGACGGGTGGTTCATATGGGTGAACCATCTGATAATAGTCGATGAACCTACTAGATGGATCATCGTAGTCATAGTATCGGCAGTACAATGCTTCTCCCTTGAAGTATCGTCTGCAGAAAGTAACTTTAATGCCATAAATAGATGGCTGTCTAAATATACATTTTTATTTACACAAAGCGAAGGCAATGAAGTATTAATATGTAAATATAGGAATACTAGGGTGGACAGAACCGGCTCTCTGGCCGAGTGCAGGTGCATGCCCTTACCCTCCGGCCCAGAAGTCTGATCATGGCCCGCATTGGTGAACCATCCGATAACCACGCCTGGGAAACTACTTAGCTGAACGAACGTGGTTCTAGTAGTAGCAGTACGGTACTTATTCACTGCAGTATCGTCTGCATAAATAAAAACCGTTAGTTGAATAGAAGTTTTGTATCATCTGCCCTACCAGCTAATACAATTGAGTTTGACAGGCGTGAGATTAAAATATGCACAAGGGGTATATATTTATTGAATCGATTTGAACGAACTACGAATAAAATGTCAACCGCGACGAGTAGAGGCGACATATGGGGCCCACCCTGGGTCTAAGAAGGCCAGAAGCATAGCGTGTTGCTGCCGTGGATTGACCGTTGGTAAGGTTTTGCTCACCCGCCGGCCTATCGAAAAATTGAACCCAAGGGTCACACCGAGAGTGATTACCTAGCACCTAATACGACTTCAGGTTCTCTGCCCAAGTCTTTTTATTGCATACCTATTCGGTGGAGCGCTTGGTCCTGGAGGTTTACATAAACATGAATGCGGGCGTGACAGTTGTGGATATTTTTTTGCTATCTCGTGGCCAACTATGGCCCTTCGGTGTATCGTCTAACTCGGCCCTTCTCCCCTGATTTGATCGCCTACGCTACACAGCTATTTTTATACTTTGAAAGCAAAGCATGCCTAATAAAATGTCAACCGCGACGAGTAGAGGCGACATATGGGGCCCACCCTGGGTCTAAGAAGGCCAGAAGCATAGCGTGTTGCTGCCGTGGATTGACCGTTGGTAAGGTTTTACTCACCCGCCGGCCTATCGAAAAATTGAACCCAAGGGCCACACCGAGAGTGATTACCTAGCACCCAATACGACTTCAGGTTCTCTGCCCAAGTCTATTTACTGCATACCTATTCGGTGGAGCGCTTGGTCCTGGAGGTTTACATGAACATGAATGCGGGCGTAACAGTTGTGGATATTTTTTTTTGCTATCTCGTGGCCAACTATGGCCCTTCCGTGTATTGTCTAACTCGGCCCTTCTCCCCTGATTTGATCGCCTACGCTACACAGCAATTTTTATACTTTGAAAGCAAAGCATGCCTTCCTGAGTGAGACCTCAAAGTTGACTGTCAAGTGTGTACCGTTTGCACCAGGACGCTCAAGCCGTGCCACACCGACCCCAGTTTGTACCACGGATGAGTCTGTTCCAGGCGGCTTCAAGGGCTGTGCCCGCGCCGACGCCGATGATAACTGCCCAACCGCCTCCAAGGAAGCCATTGTCAGACTGTACTCTGTCTAGCCCACGCCCACGAGACTTGAGCACCTTTCGTGCTGGGAACCACACGAACCGTCCCACAACTACGCATGGGAGGGGCGACTTGTGTGACACCCTCACGCGTGACACGTACCACAAATTTACGGCAGTCGAAATAGTCCGATGAATTGAACGATGCTCCGATGCCCCGGCCGACAATCGCCCAATAGAAGGCCCTATCACTAGAATTGACAAGTGGGTGTTGGTCACTTCGGCAACCCACGATGTTCACGAGGATTTCCGATGGAGCAGATTGCGAGGTTACTGAGAGCCGATGAATAATCGCTACGCCTCATTTAAACATCTCTACCACTCATAATGTTACGTACCGGTGACTGAGTTACACACTACGGTGTCGGCAGCGGATAAGCGACCGATGAACAACGCAAGCCGTGTCCGTCAGGAGGAACAACGTAAACTTGACGAATATGAGCGCTCCCGTGCAACACGCATCCAGGATACACAGATGCAAGGGATGGAGAGGAAGATGGCGAGATTACAAGACCTCAGCCACCGGCTCACCGTTTCTGGGCTAACAACTATCTGTGGGGGCATACAAATGCATACGAACAAACAGGCTGCGATTATGACGATGATGTTCCTCAGCGTTAAAAAGACCCCTGCGGTAAAACAGCCATTGATCAAAGGTCCAAAGACCTCAAGAAGTTGACGAAAAATCTGACCGATTCAATGGTATCAGTCCGTACATTTACTAATAATGCGTCTACGGGTGTAGATAAAAAAAATATGTCAAACCTTTACAGAACTAACGGAATAACCTCCACAAGAGCCCTAGTGCCTTGCGGCGTTCAAGAAAAAAAGAAAACGGGGATCATAACCCCTATACTACCGCCATTAATCGTTCGCGATATTCACGTTCCACTTGTGCCCCTATGGGGCTCTTCTCAGCCACGCGGTTCAACACCGCTAAGCGACAACACTAGAGACCACGCTTCCCACAGCCGCTGCCGCCGCTGTATAGGTCGACCAGCTGCGTGCCTGCGTTGTGGCCTCCGTCATTGGAATGACATGTGCCCCGTATGCGACATCTGTCACCACACCAGATAGAACATTTTAGATACCGGAACATACCCTCTTTATCCACGCAACCCAAACAATACCCTCAGCACTGGCTCTACAACAGTGGGGGCTGAGACGAATTCGGATTGATTTGAGGAGGACGAGTGGACCGATCCAGTTACTCAGGCCCCCTGCGAGGACCTACCAGTGATTATATAAAATGGCACCGGTACTCGTCCAGCGATGTTGAGCTGAGGATTTGCTGCGGCGAATCAGTTTAAGATAACACACTGGAGCGCTTATACCTAACTGGGCATAGGGGCAGCGGAACCTATATCAGGTTAATTTCTTCATTTGCCGACCACCGGAGGTCTCTTATAATCTTGATATCAGACACAGGAGCCCATACATTGCAGACCAGGACAATACCTGGACCGTATCACTAATCAGCCGGCCGCGAAGGTTGAACGCCTGAAGGACAAGTTCTTTAAGGTTTGGATAAGTCCGGCCCCACCAAAGTTCATTTCGGATGTCATGTTTAAGGTCATGCCGCTGCCAGGGGCCCTCTCTATCCGGCGTGTATACGGCACAACGGATCCTTTTCAGAGCGGAGTTTTCACCCGGAAGGTGGATGCCATGTACCGGGTGAGCAATGCGGAGGAAAGGAACCCCACGAGTCTGTCAGTCGCTTCCTGTGGCCTCGCCCGTAAAAACACCAGAGCAGTGCCGACTGAGGATAAGAATTTCTGCTTGACGGTCGATTATTCTATGCATAACCCTTACATGCATAACCTGCCGGTGACGCTGCCTACGGAGGACGACACGCTGAACCATGCACGAGGTGCGCATATCCTTACATGTATAAATTTGGCCGCCTTCTATCACTAGCTAATGATAGCACCGAAGTGTCGATATATCCTCACGTTCTATACCCCGTGATGGTTGTTTTTACCAGCCCGTTTGCTGGAAAGCATACAAGACGGCTGTTTCGATATACAGCAATACAAGCTGCACACGTTCCAACCAACATGTTAAAGCCGTCCGACCATCATCGAACAGTAGACATTATGATTGAAAAGAATATCCAGCTGCAGCCAACAAAGAGTAAAAAGGTTCGTCTACCACAGGGGATGGCACATCTGTTCGGTCAGGATATTTTAGATCACGAGTCCAGGACCGCGACCGACTGAAAGATTTCTCACCGCGCCAGTTCCCAAGAATCGGAAGGAACTGGTATCTCTCCTCGCCATGATGTCTTAGCTGTCCGGCATGGTGCACAGCCCCATTATGCGTGCACAATTGAACCACTCACCCGCCTCACGAAGAAAAGAGCGGTTTTCGCTTGGGGAACTGAGCAGCAGCTGGCTTGGGATAAAGCCTTCTTCCATCTGTCGATGAGGATGAAGCTGTACCAGCCGCTCCCGCACCAGTGACTCGTCATATAAAACAGCCGTGGGCATGACCCTGTATGTCCAAATGGAGAGAAGGATTTCTGTAGACTTCGAAAGGTATTACTAGGTTTCAAACTATGTTAAATAAACTAAGATACAATTCAAATCAGTTAGGATATAGCAGTGGTAGCTTGTGTAAGAATGATCGGGACTGCCTCTTGGTACGAGCCTTGAAATCTTCGAACACACAGGACGTACCTCTAGCTGTTCTTTATTAGTTTTCACTAGAAGTACTAAGTATCCATGATCACACGCCTAAGTTGTAGATAGACATAAGAACATATGTCACGTTGATACATTAGCTATTATAAATAAAGTTCTATCTGGAGAAAAGTTAAAAAAAGAAAAAGACTTATTGGATTTTGGAGATTGGCGGGAGGACCAAAATCTGTAAGTAGTAGTTCAGAGATTATCGAAATTCAGTTTATAAAATTCTACATCTACTAATGTCTCAAATAGATCCAAGTGAATGAGTCATGTATATATACATACACACACACACACACACACACACACACCCACACACACACACACACACACACACACACACATATATATATATATATATTATTATACATACACACACACACA